ATTATGCTTGTGATGGATGTACCCGCTTTCCCAGAATCATATATGTGACACTTATGCCCTAAGTACGAACAAAGGAGTATTTTCCAAAACAAAAGCAACATTTTTTTCTTGCTGAACTTGGCCCACTAGTTTATAGAAGCATTTCTAACCTAAAACAATCGATGTGATTATGGTTGCTGCATACTCAACTGTTTGTGAATAGGTATGACAGTCTCAGGCCAGCACAGATTAGTTGGTAAAAAGTTGTGATATTTACGCGACAACCTTCTAGCCTTTCATAACCGGCTTGTAAATGTGCGTTGTGTCTTCTTCGTGCATGTAGATATATTTCCTTAACTTTTGTAGAGAATGTCAGGACTTGAACAATATCAAGTTACTGCTTGTCCTGCCCAAGTTTTACATATCAAAATGAAAGCCAATGCAAGAATAATATGTAAAAGCCTAGAGTGATAATAATACTGAAAGGTGTAATACATCGTGAAAGAAAAACGTTTATAACAATTCGTGCGCCTTCGTATTCCAGAAACATTTTTATTTTGTTACAAAGATATCATCCCACCAATTCCGTATATTACTTTGACTTCACTTCGTCAAATACGGCACACAACATTCACGGAGCCATTTTATTAAATCTACATTTGGTGTGATGTTTTGGGAGAAATTGTTACAGCAATAGGCTACCACAATAAGGAAGTGATAAAGTAACATCTTTAGAGATATTTTTGTCCATACAGATTTCTGGCGATTTTTGAAGCAGGAAAAGGCAAGAATCAAATTTGTTTGATGTATGCTAATTCTATATTTAAAAACATTTTGTGTGCAATAATTTATGCGCCTCAGGAAACGCCTTGCGGATGTTACTGTATTATATTTTTATTATTTAAACACAGTTGATAACAGGTAGTAGAGCATGGAATATTTCATACAAGTATAATATTTATACGCTTATTCGTACAGAAGCGATAAAGTAGTAACTTAAGTTATATAGGAAATCCACGGGTTTAATACAGAATTTATTGATACCATACCTGTGGCATCTGTTTATAAATCGTCGTTTTTGATCGCATGCTGTATGAATTTCACTGATATGGAGGGGAAACATTAGCACAAACTTTCGACAAAATTCAAAACTATCAGATTTTGGCGCTCAGAAAATGCTTTGGAGGAAAAACCCGGAGACAAGGACGTAGCCAAACAGTGCATCGAAAGTATCATGCCATCCCATGATATTAGTTAACGTCTGAGTAAATTAAGTCCAGATGATATACTCCAGTTAAAGTAAAGGACAATTTGCTAAAGATGTTTTGAATATAAGCTTCTAACCCTTCACATTAATCAAGACATGCATTTGAAGGTAGTTAAGATCATTGTTAAATTTTATCAAATTATTTCATATTTACAAGTTCACATTAAATTAATGCACGTTGTTATTAAATGTGCGAAATATTTGCTCTGCTTTTGAAGCTTTATTACATTGCCATTTATAGCATGTCTCAGGATTAAAACTTCACATGTGTCCCACAATATAAAATAGTGCAATATAATTTAGCTACACAAGTACTAACACTTATGACATCGCTGAAGATAACTGCAAAAACAAATTTAAAATTTTTAATAGATCAATTTGTATCGTTTGATTTGTTACTCTTATGAATACGGGATCTGGCGAATACACTTACGCTGAGTTCGTAAATGTTTTCCCATAGGTAAAGAAAACCGCTACAAAGCAATGTGTGCGGAACGCTAGCACAATAATACCGTAAGAATTCACCATCTTTCTAGTTAGATAATTGCAGACCGAAAGAAGCGTTGAAAATTGCACCAATATTCGCCAATATGTTAACTTGCTCGGCTGACAGAATTTTACTGTTGACTCAGAAAATCACGCTTAATTTTTCGTCCGCAAATTTGCCGATTACCCATCCTCACACCTACGTGCGGATAAATTTGATTATATAGTTACAAATATTTTGGCCGACTGTAAGCTGAAGTTCATTCCAAGAACTGCAGTTTGGTAAATGGCACTTTACTGCGCGTTCGCAGGACAGTTAATAAACTGCATTTTGCTGAGAAAAGATTTTATGTTAGATATGGTGAGACAATCCGTTGTTGGTTCCATGAAGCAAACGTAACTAGCAACTAGTTGTGAGCAAAATAGAGTTGCTTCCCTTGAGTAACCTGTTTGGGGGAGCGACCTGACATTTCGAATTATTTAAAAACTTTTTATATGGCTACATCTTTGCTTTGGAGGCATATATGCTGATCAATTCAGTCGTCCGTAATTAGGAGGGAGTTTTTAGCACATTATTACAAACTATTATAACACAAATATGAGAACACTAGCTGCTTGAGGAAACTGCTAAATTCATATTTTGTAAGTAATTAGCAACAGCACAAAACTGTTGTATTGTTTACTTGTTGTTCACAGCTTTTTTATATAAATAAATAGATAATAAACTCCAATCGCAACAAAGCTAGGCACGACCTTCAAGTCATTAGCAATTACTCAAACACATCAACTCAGAGTAATATATACCTGAAAATGTCCGTATTAATTTACAAAACTAGAAAAATATGTCCCCCAGCATGACGAAATTAAGTAACATTTAACCTCAGAAGCATTTTACATGGCGGTAAACATATATACAGTTGTAATAATCTACAAGCACCACATGTAATCCCAAATAAGCGGCCCTCGAAGCATTGCATTCTACGAAGCTGCCAGCTGTGATGCACATAATGAATTGGATCCAGCTATTGTCATTCTTCTGTGAAGGATAAAGCTACTTCAATATGCTTGTGACTGGTTTAATTTTTGATAAGTGAAGTAAAGTTGACATATATCTTTACCAATAAACTTCTTGAAATTCTAAATAAAATACATCGACATCTTAAGTTTTATAAAGAACAAATATCTAAACTTTTTCTACATTGTGAGCATACAGATTGTTTTAAAGTCATTCGCTTTTGATTATATTCCGATGTATATCATTTTCTAACTAGCAATCACAATTCATTGCTATTCGCTCCTAACTACTGCCACTTTCACAACTATATAATGGATGGGTGTTGGTCAAATTAAAATCCAATAAAGCACGGTCAACTTTGATTCCAGATCCATGGAAAATCCTAATAAATTTTACAACGTTTGCTTGACAGGACACTTAAGTAAATCTCCAGGACACAAATTTCGAGTTCGTAGTTCGGAAACCCACCGTAATAATGCGTTGCTCCCAGCGGAACCTTTTGTGATAGAAAGTAAAATTTTGATAGAAGAGGAAAAAATAAGTGCGTTTGTTTTGCTCAACTGGCTTCCGTTATTATGTAACTTTACATATCACTGGATAGAACTGAAACTTGACACATTGTGAAATGTAAAATTAGTGTGCCACATTAGTTGAGTACATTTTATTTATTTCGTTTAAACGTTTAATTTACTTACACGACAAAGAACCACCATTGGGCCGAAAACATTTCTGTTACTTTACGGACAAACAGAACACCTGTTTCGATTTATGGTACACAAATGTTTGTGAAAATAATAAGACAACTTATTTATTAATTCGTGCTGGTTGAAATACAATTTACCGATGAGTTTACGGTTGGTACCCGTCGCAACGGGACTGGACCTTAACTTGGTGCGACGGTTTGCGTACCTCATTGACCCGTTAAGCTATACTGGGTGATGCCTCCGAACATCATGAGAGCTACTCCTACCAGGTTGGTCAATGGTGAGAGGTCAGACCAACTCAGTCTTCTTGTCCTCTAGTTTGGGGGTTTGAAATGTTATAGCGTCCATTTCTGTAAAACTGAATCACTGCCACCCCGCTGCCTTGCGGACAGGCTTTTGAGCCAAAGGCTTTGGATGAGGACCCTAATCGTTCTCCTGTCTAGGTATGGGCGCCCTGGCAGTATCCCAGCCCACATACAACCATGACATTTTCTTCAAACATTAACTTCATACTGCATCGGCCGTCGCGCAGATTATCAAGGGCCGCCTTATCTGCTGCATACAGCAGGGCAGATAAGCGAAAGCATGCTACTGCTGGCGCCTCCCTTCTTTCTTTTCCACCTTTTTCTCTTACTCCCATCCCGGCCCCTATTACTAACCTTTCTTCTATAATTCCCAGCTTAATTGACAGCAACAGAAATGCTACTGGAGTAGTACCGTCTGCAGCCATCATCTTTCAGAACCTATCGGACGCCTATCGGCAAAAGTTCCCTATAAGGCCACGCTGTCCCGTTTCCATGGCGACATTCAACGTCCGCACTCTAGGACAAACAGGTCAGCAGGCTGCAATCGCACGCACCTTGGACACACTGGATATTGATGTGTGTTGTGTGTCCGAAACTAGGATTAATGACCCTAACGGGGTATTGAATTGACTGCACCCGGCTTATCCTCTCGTTATTGGTTGCACGCATCCGGAGACGCCGATGCGGCACTCACGGGTCAAGCTGGTGTAGGTATCATTCTCAGCTCCAAGGCTGAGTCATCGTTGGTTGATTGGATTCCGGTGAACAGCCGTTTATGTGCAGCCCGTTTGACGACATCAGCTAAGGTGAATTCGCGAAGTAAAACAAAACGCTGTTTGATTGTGATTTCTGCTTATGCTCCCACCGACTGCAGCTCTAATGCAGTCAAGGACACTTTCTATCACGAACTGAACACGCTGCTACGCAGTGCTACTAGTTCAGATATTATAGTACTTGCAGGGGATATGAACGCACAAGTAGGGCGTCTGAGCTCCTCAGAAGCTCAGCTGGGTGGTAAGTATGGACTTAACGCCGAACGGACTGACAACGGCGAGCGTCTGCTGCAACTGTGTGCGGAGCGCCAGTTGTTTCTTACTAGCACTGCTTTTAGACACAGTGGGCGCCGATGTGCCACTTGGCGTCCACCTGTAGCTGGCCAGCGATGGACCCAAATTGACCACGTAGCCATAAGTTACAGTTGGCATGGTTCCATTCTGGATTGCCGCTCGTACTGGAGTACCTGTGTCGACTCTGACCATGCCTTGGTGCGCTGTCGTTTCTCCATGAACTTTACCGGAAGGCGCACAAAGCGTCTCCCCCGATTGGCAACGGAGAAATTGTCCCAGCCCTCTGTCAGGCAAGCCTATCAAGAAGCACTGCATAGCGAACTCTCGCTGTCTTGTCCTAATGACACTGAACTTCAGTGGAATAGGATCTCGGCCACTATGCACGACGCAGGAGCATCTGTTTGTGGCACTATCAGTCGTCATCGCACCAGTCACTGGATATCTGAGAGGTCCGTGAACCTTTTGGAAGCTAGAAGGCACCTCCCGGCTGGTTCTGAACACAATGTGACCAGACGGGCTATTAGGCGTGAACTAAGCGGAGCCTACGTGCTGACAAGGAAGCCTGGTGGACCAGTCGGGCTCAAGAAATGGAGGAGGCAGGAGCAGTAGGCAATTACCGGAAGCTCTTCCAGCTAATACGCACCACTGGTCCGAGAAAACCAGGCGTCAGTGAGACAATCAGGGACAGCGCGGGTGCGCTGATACACAATAAGGAGCGCCGTATGGCTCGTTGGGCTGAGCATTTTGAACATCAGTTCAGCTGGCCCCCTGCTCCGGACCTCTTCCTACTCAGGTGATGCAGGACGAGCCATGGACGGTTAGTTTAGAGCCTCCGTCGGAGGCCGAGGTCCGAAACGCGATCACAGCCCTCAATCGTTTTCGTGCTGCTGGCCCGGATTCCCTCCCACCTGCACTATTTAAGGATGGAGGTGAGGTCCTCTGCAAAGCACTGACCTCCCTATTCGAACGTATCTGGAACGAAGAGAGTGTGCCGGCTAATTGGAGCGAATCGATTATAGTGGCAATATACAAGAAGGGCAGTCGCACAGACTGTGCGAACCACAGGGGTATTAGCCTAACGCCAGTTGTGACAAAGTTACTGGCCTCGATTATCGTTCGTCGCCTCACTGCAGAACGGGAATCTCGGATTAGGGAAGAGCAGGCCGGTTTCCGCCCAGGACGTGGCTGTATAGACCATATATTTACTTTGCGGCAGGTGCTAGAGCAGCGCCACGCATACCGCAGACCGACAATAGCTGTGTTCCTCGATTTCAAGAGTGCGTTCGATTCAGTCGATCGATCGATTCTGTTCGAAATATTTGCGCGGAAAGGTGTTCCCACGAAATATGTGAACATCCTTCGTGCTCTATACTCGAACACTAGAGGCCGCGTCAGGGTCTATGGTGCCCTATCGGATAGCTTTTCGACTACAAGTGGCGTTCGACAGGGTTGCCCGATTTCCCCATTTTTTGTTCAATTTCGTCGTGGATTCTATCATGGAGTGTTCCCTTGCGGAATCTCACGATGTAGGCGTTGAAGTGCTGCCTGGTGAACGGTTAGTTGATCTAGATTATGCGGACGATATCGTCTTGCTTTTCGACAATGTTGAGGCGGCACAATCAACCCTGAATAGCCTATCCAGAGTGGTCCCATTATTTGGTATGCACTTCGCACCTTCAAAGTGCAAAGTGTTGCTGCAGGACCACCAGCCACTCGATGACCCCTTGACGCTTGCTAACGAGGAACTCGAGGTGGTTGATCAATTCACTTATCTTGGCAGCTGCATCAGCAATGATGGGCGCATAGCAACTGATGTGAGCTCACGCATTGCAAAGGCCAGAGCTGCCTTCTTGAACCTGCATCATCTTTGGCGACAGAGGGGAGTTTCCCTCCGTCTGAAAGGCCGTGTATACAAGGCCACAGTGAGGGCCGTTCTACTCTATGGGAGTGAGACTTGGCCGCTTCGGTCTGAAGATCTGAGGCGCCTTCAAGTCTTTGATCACCGTTGTTTGCGAAGCATTGCTGGTGTCGGATGGCACCAGCGTGTCCGCAACGATGATGTGCGTAGGCGAGTACTAGGTAATGATGATCATGCTAGCTCCCTAGAACAACAGATAGCACTGAACAAGTTGCGTTGGCTCGGGCACGTGCTACGCATGCCTGGTCACCGCTTACCCAAGAGGGCCTTGTTCAGTCTACCAGGTGTAGGATGGCGCAAGGCTCGAGGTGGACAGAAGTTGACTTGGCAGCGGGAAATGAAGTCACTGACGACCAAACTGGGTGCCGTTGGTCCGTCTCGCCTTCCGGGTTGGAGTCCACGTGACTCACCTTGTGCTTGGCTCGAGACTTTACAGGACATGGCTCGCAACCGACAACAGTGGCGCGTCTGCTGCCGTCTTCTAATCGGATTGTCTGTTTAAAGTGTGTTTGGTGCTGAGTTATCTGCGGGGTAATGGCTGATTATGACGCGTGGCAGCGAAAGCCGCAAGGAAGCTGTCTCGCCGATGCCGCCTTATCTTGTGACGGAATGTTGTCTACACAAGGTTTAGGCGTCTTGACCCTGAATGTTTGCTTAGGGCATTAGGTTTTCAGGTAAGTCCCCCTTCTCTCCCTCTTCGTATTCTTTATTTCATAGGTCCTCATGGTTGTATGGCAGCGAAGCATCAGTTCAAATGGCTGATGTACTGCTGTTGATGATGATGATGATTACTGTTAATACAATAAAATATATTGCTGATTAAAAGAACGTCAAATTTGCCACTCGAAATGATTCTGTGTTATAAAAATCGGTTTATTTGTCGCAGCGCTCTCCACTTAGTTGTTATTGACAAACTCACCTTGATTGCTTTCAGTTAATACGCTTGTTGGTTCCGCAAGCGACTATCGTAGATAACGGAAACTTAATTTATTTTCTCACCAAGTTGTATACTTGCAAGGGTTACAGTTTAAGATCAGTATGAGATAATTTCGTCACGCAAGAAAAAGAGGGTAAGTTACTTTATACTAGTAAGCGAGTAAAATGAAGAAAACGTAAGCAGTTTTTTCATTAAATGTGTTGGACAAAGCTGCTCCGACTTCAGTACCAAAGATCCGACTTGATTCTTAAGTGTTGGTTGGTGCTACATTGATCCTTCTATTGACCGGTTTCATGCTTCCATCCAAATTTACAGAAAAACCTGCGGTGTCAATAGGAACACTCGATGAAAAGGACAATGCTCCAGTTTTGGGCAACCCTGTTACGATGGAGTTCGTGCGGCCTCCAGGTTAGAGGTCGACGAATAAATTCATTTCACGTGATTGTTAATGATTAAAAATTTACGCACATCAGTAAACTGCTCAGTACTGGCCATCCAGCTAAAAAGAGAATGGAGATTTGGAACTTTCTTTCTGTCGATGAAAGCAAGCACTTGTGTTACGTTGCACAGTAACTTTACCAAATCCTAAGCGTATTTAATCAAATTAAAAAAACAAACAAAATGTTAAACAAACCAAACGTTGATGGTACTATAGAGACTCTCCCAGATTATAACTTGGTTAAGTGTGCAGCATAATAGAGATCAACTATCGGCAAGCACTGCTAGAATACTTGTGGACTTATTGGATACAAACGCCAAGACCCGTCCTTGATTTTTCCAAATCTTATAGAGAGGTCTATGAAATAACCACCAAAGTAATACCTGAATGCTTCGCAGTTCGTTTGCGCACAAAGCATGCTGAGTAGGCTGATATTGGCAGAGCATCTTACTTATTTCTGAGGCAAATAGGTTAAGCATTAATGGCAAAAGCTTTCACGAACATCTGTTAAACGACCTGTCTACATGTTAAGGCACCGGAAAGCAAATCAACGATATACAGAAGCGGCTGTCCCCTTCGTCTAAGAGAAAGACTCATAGAAGAACTATAGCGAGCTAGCGTGCTGTACTGAATTGATCAACCGTTGCAATCTGGTTAGTTCAGCCTCTCACCGCATGTATCATTATTTTACATCTGCAATCACAGGTAACATGCACACCAAAGTCTTAAAGAGATGCGTGGCATACAAGTAACGTTGTACTTGATCCAATCAAGAAAACAAATTCCTTTTTTGTAAGTCATATTACTTTAAACTTTACCATTTTAAATAGTAATGATATTAAACACTGTCAGCACCTCCGTGTTGCTAATAATTGGTTGGTATCGTCTGTGTGCGTCAAAGAATTTTTCGTTAATCATTAGCCAAATTTATTGGCACGGGTGACGAAGTATATCCTAGATTCCATGCAACTTCCTTGTATTCAATAGATTTAATAAGGAGGCGATGACTACGAACATGGTCAATTGATCATGGCAGTCCACGTTAGCGATTTATCCAAAAGTTAAAACTATCCAACCCAACGATCATTGGGGTGTCCGGTGATAGAATAATGGTCTATGTCTACAGCCTTGGGCTGACCGGAACTGATAGGATATGGTCCGTGGATTAGGCATAGTGAAAATAGCAGTTTCACATACATGCAACAACCCCGCCGCCACTGAATTCATTCGGCCCATCGGTTGGTAAATCCATGAATTTAGTTACCACATATGAAGATGTTTGTCTTGTCGACTACGTCGGTCGACCGGTAAAAGGCTTAAGAGTTTGACACCCAAAAGCAATCTGATGGTTAGAACAGGATGCCATTTTTATTGGAAAACATTTCCTTCTAATTGATCGACGTATTTGTATAATTCTGTAACTGCGAAAATGGAATTACTCAAATCTTCCCATCTATCTATTTGACTAAGTAAAACATGCTAAGTCGCCAAAGTTTTAACAACTCAAATTAGGTTGATCAGTGGTAGACAAATTGTAGTATGCTTTCTCGATATGTTTTGATTATGAAAGGCATATATAACGAATTTTTGTAAGCACAAGTTGCATGGACATCGTCATATCTTGGGCTTTTTGTATTACCTTTGTTACTTAAAAATGTGACCTATGGGAGAAGTTGCGTGCTAATCGCTCTCTTGTGCACTCGTGGTATGTTATCCGTGGTTCTGTGAAATTTTGTCGCAAAATTTTGGATCCATAATTATTCATCCTGCTTTTACAACCTCTACTTTGTGATACCAGTTTCCCCAATATACTCCATTGTATTCTACATTTAACATAATTTATAACTTCCGGGCAGTGTTTTGCCGACATCCAAGTACAAAAGTTGCCTAACTGCAACCATCAGAGACATTGTTTGGTATCACTCGATACATCATTTCAACAACTTTCGAACAAACTTCCATTAGTTCAAATCAAACAGCTACATGTCTCAAAGCAAATCCGTTTGGCTTGATCCATAGGCTTAACAAGGAAAATTCTCAATTACATCTTCGTGTATTCTGCCCCACGTTCAAGCTGACACATTCGACTGGCACGCCAGAGAGGACAGTCTACAAGCGCACAGCAGCAAAGCGAACATGTTGACCTTACCGATAACGTCAATAACAAAACCACCTTTTACTATAGAGCGTGATTCATTCAAATGGTTCGTAACAGTTGCTCAACAAGCGTGAT